AAAAAGGAAGAAACCTAGAGTAGTTCCCAAGGCGCTTTCCTTTCAAATGCTGGCGGGGCTGTCATTGCGGAAGCTTGGTCCAGTAATTCGAGTATTCCCATCGTTATGATTACGTCCGTTCCTAAATCAATATTGGTTATGGGATTTCATAAAACGTTATTTGAAGACTTACGTGAATAGCCTCTTGAAAGGGTGCGGTCGAAAGTGGCGTTTTTATAGTCACTTTCAACCTTCTATCTTCCGGTAGGAAGGCGAACTCTCGTTCCTTGTTTGGTATCAAAGCCCCCTCTGCGGTTATTTGGACCTAGGGAACAGAACACGCAATATTTTCATTAAAACTGAACGATTGGTTCATATGTACTTGTTAATCGTAAAGCTGTAAATTGAGTAAAACATGAAGTTTCGCGAACAGCTATGCTTTTCCACAACCCAAAATCGTCCATATGTAATTACGTCAATTCCAGCGACCACAAAGCCCATAAAAAAAGCTTTAAATAATAACGTTGTTGTTCATAACAAATTTAACATAACTGGTTCAACACAATGTGTAAAAAGTTTCCATGTGCGTTGACTAGTGCTTAGACCCTCAATTCAAGTGATAAATGCTAAGTACAGAAATGATATACCCAATGGCCCCAATGGCCTTAAAGTTTTACACCCATTATTCTAGACTTATAAAGTGCTCACATTTTGCTTAAAATGGTTTTTTATTCCACTACAGGTGTTACGCGACCTCATTTGCATATTGTATGACAGCCGAAATTATCAAAAAATGAATGCAAGGCTGATAATACGGCAAAGGGTTGATTTATTTGAGACCAATATTTCGGGAGACTAATTTTGTTCAAATGAATCAGCCCTTTGCCGTATTTCAGTTTTCATTGTAATTGACAAATTATACTTTCTATATGTTTATTTTCAGTTGTCTTGGCTGAATCGCATTATGTGATTATTAACTTACCTCATCCGAGAAGACATACACATCTTCTCCCCGGTACTCATCGGGAATTTTTCCCAAAACATCGCTCGCGAAAAGCAAGGAATATCTTTTGCTATTAAGGAATTTGTTGACTTTCCTCACTAGCTCGTTCTTAAACATTGCCTCGGAAAGGGAGCACACCAGTCCACCAGCTGTGTTGCCATGGATTGCTTTATTGAGATACGCTACGAAAACGTCTCTTTTGGGGTTTGACGGCACAAAGGCTTCCCTGCGGGTAACAGTATATATCTTTAGATATAGAGTGCATTACACTGATTCGCATGACAGGTGCACATACAAAAAGAATAAACGAATGAAACTTAGCGAACTATTAGCAAGTAAGTAATTGAGCTGAGGGGTCGTATAGGCGATTTCAACACACTACGCTTTGCTATGAATGTCGAAAAAATTTGATGCAGTGATAATGAACGTCACACTACCAACTTTGTTTGCTCGTAGCGAGTTTTCCGTTCTCCAGATATTTTACTGATGTCTTAAGTAAACTGTTGTTTCGACCCTATTATGTAATTTAAACGTCTATGACGGAAATGGCCAAAGGTGCTGTACATTCAGGCCAGGGTCAGTGTCACGGAGAGTCCCCACTTTCCCGCCATAAAACTAGCACACACTTTTTTATAACGACCTAGCTAGACTTTTTTATAGTGGTATTCTTTATTTTAATCATGTATAATATACCTTAGGGAATTTTAAATAGTATACATTGTTTTATTTCTCATGGCCCTTATGAATACCAGCCTAGTTGTTTAACGGGCTACCCTGATAAAATAAAGTTACTTACTTACATACTTACTATGTACTAAAATTGAGATTGCAGAGGATCCAAGTGCAAGGGAAGGAAATTTATATTTCTTAGTGTCTATTCTGTCATAGAGACGATTTGCCAGAAAATTCGGACAAAATCACGCCCGAGATTGCATAAAGCCCTCTTCCGGTAGAAGTGCGTCGCTCAAAAACGTCGTTGCTTAAACTCCTTAGAGCTGCTACTGAGCCAGTCGTTAAGGATAGGAAAGGGAAAGCGCAATTATGGCTGAAACCATGAACAGTGAGCGTGACCTGTTAAAAGTTCTTATTAAGTACTGGAGAAGCGTTTCCTTCTAACAGAGGCTGACGGTTTCGTATTTTAATTTGACTAAAGACAATTATATCAGAATGCTGCGCAAAAGAAGGGTCCGCGTTAATTTTTTTTTTTTTCCAAGAGAAACTTACGATTGGGGATCACTAAAAGGGAAAGCCACTGAAAAGCAAAAGTGGCCAATTTACTACCCTAGGTCCCTAGGTACCATACGTTTTTTCTTTCTTTAAAAATTCTTTGAAACGTGAATAGCGCATGGCTATTTAATGGTCTTTAAACAAAGTATTGGAGCTGGCACAACTGGAGTCTTAGTAACAAGGATTTGCATGTCAATCACTGTCAGTACTTACATTTGGGCGTCGTGTGGAAAAGTTGTAACTTTCATGATATATCCATCCTTTGCCCCCATGACTTGATGAATTGGCTTGAAAACAAAATTGGAAGCGGCGTGAATTTTGGTTACAATGTGACCCTCGCTGTCCTTCTCTCTGGACTGCAAACACATTTTGCTATCCTTGTCAATAACTTTGGACTTTCCCATTTTGTAAAATAAAAATATTTGTTAGTTATTGGTAGTTCACCGAAGAAAAAACGACTCTTTCGTTTTCCTTTCGTTTGGATTATGGGAACCGTTGGCCCTTTTTATAAGACAAGAGCCACTGAAGGTTGGCTAACGCGAACCACAAAAATGCCTTAGCGGGTGTTCATATCTCGTGTAAATTGTAGTAATTTCCTTGAAATTCTCTACCTGGTTTTATCGCATGGTGTTATATCCTATGATGCAGTTTGCATCTGCAGTTTCGCACTATCGACGACATGATCACGTGGAGATGAAACTTCCTTTTCCTTGACGTGAGTTCACGGTAATGACAATTTTAAGAAAGATCAATTGAGAGAATTGAAGAACGTGTCACTGAAATGGACAGTAAAAAAACAGACTGACTGCCGCCAATTGTTATTGCTGTCGCGAGAAGCAGTCTGCAGTCTGCTTTTTGTACTGACCCCTTTTTTCTTTTTTTAAGATTATGAACGACACATCAAAGGTGGTAAGGAGGAAACCGTGTTGCAAAGTTTTCCAAATGTAGTAGTTACTAAAATTTGGAAATGACACGTACTATGTGGCACCCCGAAATTTGGGCGGCAATACATTATTCGCGGCGAACAGTAAAATACAGTAAAAGCCCACATATACGAACCTAGTGAATTAAGAACCCACAGGCTGAAATTTGGCATTTGAATAGTAACCCAGAAATATAAGAACCCTTTTCAGCCTGGAAAAGAAAAATAGGTTGTTATACGAAAAAAAAAAACAAAAACACTCTAATTTTGATGGCTAAAATTCTGGATTTTAATTGTGTCAGAAACTTCTGACAAAAAGTTGTTGTGTATATAGTCTCTTTTGAGTTACGTTTGTTTGGATTTTCACTAGAAACATATTACCTTAGAGGTTTTTTCCCCTAGTATACCGTCGGTCAATCGCTTGACCTTACATCCTATTAGGTTCCTATTAACTTGAGAAATAACATTTTGGAGCCTTTTCGCAAACTCTGGCGCCAAGGAGACATCGCAGGGGGAACTTTTTCTGGATACCTTCTTATCGGAGATTAACGGCAGTAAAATTGTAAAAATTGACGCGACTTAAATGAAAGCCAATTAAAGGGGAAATTGTTTCCATACCAAACAATTAACGCCAAAAGGTTAAGATTTCAACATAAAGTAAATAAATGCATGTTACAGTTCGGGTCGTGCCCACACCACCCTTGATCGCTACGACGATATCAAAGTTCGGATCGGCGTTTGACCACGGGCCAATGCACTACCTTGTGAAAGAACGACCGAATGAACTTTGGTATTATGTGTATAATACTAGCTTGAATGCTATAATTATATTTCAAAACAGACGTAATCGATATTACAGTGAAACCCCGCCTTAAGGCCACCTGGCTATTAAGGCCACTTTTTTTGCCCGCCTGGCAAAAAACCGCCATATAATATTTTCTTGTAAAAAACCCTTGTTAATACGGCCAATTTTTTTTGGCCCATTGGTGACCGTATTAACGGGGTTCAAATATAATTCAATTCAAGGAGGTGATGCATACAAAAGGATATCAGTGACTCAATCTTCTCCTCACTTATTGATGTATTAGTGAATTAGAACTGTAAATATTTATATATCTATTTGTAAATAAGAAACGACACATTTTTCTTGGCTTTCCAAACTTAAGTAAATTTTTGTAGCGAAATTAGCTGCCATCATCGAAAGTAAAGCTCTATAAATATTTATTACTGTCCATATACGTGGAACATGTATTGCTATATAATTCTTTAAAGTCATAGTTCGCCAGTATCATTTTAATTATCATCTTGATAGGATTCTCGTTAGTTTCCTATTAGGGCATGAAACGTAAGTAATGTTTCTACAGGCGAGAAGGTAAAAAGAAGGAAAGGAAGTAAGAAGAAAACTGAGAGGAAGAAGAAGCAATACCGCAATGCAAAACCACAGTGTCGCAAAGGGTGTTGCCAAATTCACAGTTTGAACTACAAATGACCAACATGGAGAGAACCGGGAGAAGAAAACGACCAATACCACGGAAATTATTACACAAATGATCTTTTCAAAGCAGGCCTCTTTTTAGAGAAAGGTAAGAGAGGAGAGGTGAGAAAAGCGCATAATTATGCAATTGGCCGCGAAAATTAAGTGCCACTCGGTAACATAAAGGTAACGGAAGTCGCAGATGATAGACTTGTTATTTCCTTGCCTTTGTTTTGAAGCGACCGAACTGAAATATGCCGCACAAAAAACTAAACACCTCTTAGGCGGTAAATCGATTTCGTTTACTAAACTGCGTCAGTTAAACAACAAAATACTGAAAGAAAACCAAAGAAAAGACGATGCAGTTGCATTGTTTCTCTTTCCAGTTTTTCATTATGTTATTGGTGTTTCTGCTTTTCCAGGGACAGTGGTCTTCTGTTGAATGTGTGCGACTGGATCCACGTGGAGCAAAGTACGTAAGGGAGTTAGTGAACGAATTTTTAGCAGATCCAACTTCTTCGCGTTTTGACCAAATCATTCTTCCCCCTCAAATCGGAGAAGAACTAAGCGATTTTCTTCATCCTAAAGTGTATATATGGTGTCCAATTACCCACTGGAAAATCGAGGTGAAATGTCCCCTCCACGGCTGTCTACTCACGCCAGGGACCTTTACGGATGTAGTTGACAAGACAAGCCCCAAGAATCCACGCCTTGTTTATGATTTGAGAGGTAATGTACTAATGGTACAGCGGATATATCTATGCCGACACAAAGAAAAGCCACACAGATATTTGTCGGGTAGTGAGACGATTCTAAGAAGTATCCCAAGTCTTTATAGCCATGCCTGTTTCCCAATACTAATGCTATACCGATCTGCGTGCAGTAAAAACCTCGTTGATCATTTAGAGACACAGATCTTACAAGGTGTGAGCTTTCTGAAAACTTGTGAGGGATTGGCTGCAATAAACTTTAAGGAATTTTCACACCGACTTAGACGATATACGTTATTAGCGAAGTCAAATGTTACAGATACTGGCAAATTGTACGAGAAATTTTACGCCGATCCCATGTTTTCCTTTCCTAGCAATGATTTGTTGATGCATATTTTTCTTGCGGATTTTCAAGAAAAAGAACCGTACTATGAAGTGGAAATGAAGAAACGTGCATTACACAGCAGGGTCATTTCATGTGATCATACGTTTAAAATAAGTAAATACTTTGGAGCAAGAAGAAGTAGCGATGATAAATTTGTGAAACAATTTGAAAATCTTTTTATAGTGCTAAACGAGAGGCACGAAGTTATAAGTTGGCGTCTAACGAGAACCACGGGCTTTGAAGAAATAAGGTCGTTACTCGTTGAGCTTAAGGAGCAGATAGGTAATACTTTGGATGCAGTAATAGTGGACGACTGTTGCAAAGTAAGAACACTCTACAGGTCAGTTTTTCCAGATGTAGAAGTAAAACTAGACTTATTCCATGCAATTCAACGAGTCATCAAAAAGATACCAAAGGGATCTGAGTTTTCCAAACGATTTTCAAAAGAATTGGGTCTGATATTTCGAGCAAATGGAGACTGCGACGAGGTCCGTCAGCTACCCACACCTGATTGGAAAGTGGTAATTGAAAATTTGCATTCTTTTCGTGAAAGGTGGAAATCGTTCTTGAACATGGAAGAAATGAAGAAAGCACGTTTGGAACTCGACCACTTGAGCGTGCATATAAAAAAAGGTTGTTTATCTGGCTTAAAACCGGGTGAAGGAACGGAATCGAATGAGAGGCTTCATAACACATTAAATAAATCATTATTATGCGGTGCTACTACCACGGGTCCCGAAATAGCAATTGCTATTATAACTTTATTATTCTATAGTATGAACTGCAGGAAAAGCGCGAAAAAACATAAGCAGAATTCAAGAGTAATTCCCTTCGTGCCACTCTTCTCGCAGTTCACGTCGAGGAACGTAAATGATAAAAATCCCCACTTTAACACTAACAGTGGGGGAAAAGTCACGTTAGATGACGCTTGGAAGGCACCATACGAGGGAAATAAAGTATACCCAGACGAAACTGTTGAAGAAGCTGTAGTAGTCATTGAAACTATCGAGGACACTCTTAACGAGTCCATCGCCAGTCTGCTTTTGAAAAACATGTCCAAGTTGCATTCGATTTTAAGTAAAGTCAACAGCGAATGTCGGGATCGTTGTTTTAATGCATTTGATATTCCAATAATGCAAGTGGGTAGTATACAAGTCTTAGTCAATAGCTGCTATGCTGAAGATGACACAGAAATAAGACACAGAGAAACACTGCAGCGAAATCTCGACTGTTTTAGTCTCAAAAGGGATGAAGTCGTCGGTGACGGAGATTGTGCCTTTAGAACAATTATTTCTCAAGTGAGAAAGACAAACCAATGGAGTGACCCAAATTCAGCACTTTGTCAGCATATTTCGTACCTGGGACTTGGGAGAAGTGCCGACGAAGATGTAAATCAGCTCCGTCAACTTTTTGTCAATAATGTTCAGAGCAACGAACATTATCAAATGCTCACTGGCATTCCTTCTGACGAAATGAACACTGAGACTGAAAGATTTAGAGAACCTGGAACATTTTGCGGTGAAGTCGGGGATTTGATTATAAAAGTATGCTCTGACATACTTCAAGTCCCCATAATTGTTGTGACCAGTATCAATGGTTCCCCTTACGTGCCATTCATACCCGACGACGCACTGATCACCAATGCCATCTACATAGCGTATACCGCATTTGGTCCAGGGCACTATGATGGCACCCTTCCTGCTGAAAAAGATACAGGTAACATGGCTAAGCCCGGCAACAAGAGAGTTAGTGTGCTTGTTGCCCTGTGACGAGTGAAAATCTGCAAAGTTTTAAACTTTGATGCTCCCCAGAGCCACAAATCCCCAAAAATAAATAGTTTAATGGGAGGATCAATAATAAAAATAATAATATTCTAGGGGAAAAGTTGCTTTTAAATCTTAAATAAAAGTCCCATCAACATAAGGAGAATTAGTAAAATTTCTGAGGGTTATCCTCAAAACGCAGAATAGTAAAATATATATCCTATTTGTATTTAATTTGGAGGATTTAAGAGTTACAAATCCCTAAATTTAAGACCCGCGATTTGAAATCCTATCAATACGCCGTGTATCAAAAGTAAATTCCCTTGAGGGGGTTTCTTATTTTTCTGTTCAAAAAACCCGCGAAAAATACCACAATTTATAAGAATATTTAACAATTATTCCTCGAGCCCTAATGGGCTCAGAGTCAATAGCCCATGAGGCCCGAAGGCCGAATGGGCTATTTACTCAGAGGCCATGAAGGCGAGAGGAATAATTGTTTTAGTAAAGTTCAACTAGTTGGTCCAAAAACCCGAAACCAAACAACTTTAGCGATAGATAGTTATAGGTCGACTTTTTTGCCTCCAAAATCCGGCGCTTTTCGCTACTTTTGGGCTATAACATATAGCCTAGTAGTAGCTCAACCAATGAGAATGCACCATTGATAACAGACCACTAGCTGGATTTTACTAATATCGTACATACTGTCTCGCCAAAATCGAGAAGTTTAGTATCTGCAAAATTAACTGAAAGTTAGATACTGAGTCATTTCTTAATGCTGAAGAGCTGAAAGATCAACGGATTTTTATTTTTATCTCCTTTCAATATATTTTTTCACAGCGTCGACACTAACAGAGACAAAGAGACTTGTGTGTTCGTGTGGCAAGAATAATAAAGAAGATCAGGACTCTTGTATTCCGACCGTGGATGGGAAGACGCGCTGTCCCTGTGTTGAGGAACGTATTTCCTGTACACGAGATTGTAGATGCAAGGGATGCAGAAACAAAGAAAGCCAGGAACTTTGCAAAGTAACCTCTAACAGCGTATCCTGCAGGTGTGGAGTCGATAAAAGCAGAGAAAATCGGGAATACGTCGCTTGTGTAGATGGGAAAAGAAAAACCAAATGTCCATGTGTACGCGCAAGAGCATGTTGTGGGCTGAAATGCTCATGCAGGAACTGTGGGAATTGTGACAACAAGCCGGATAAAGTTACCGATTTAGTGAAAATCCCAGCAAAGAGAAAGCGTGAAAGTCCTGTACCATTCAAGAAGAGGCGGAGTGCGGAGTATCTCGCATCTAATAGTACAAACCCGTCAGCCGGACCATGGACTACTCATGAAACATGCCTTCTCTTTAGTACCATGCAGCTAATTGAGGCAACGGTAGTTGACAGTACACTGGAAGGCATAATGTCCCTCTATAACTATGTTGCCAACTCCCATCTCACTAAAAAAGGAAATTTTACAATCAGATCAAAAAATCAAATGCAACTTTTAAGAAAAGTAACACAACTAAAGAATAGGCAGACTGTCATTAGTGCTCTGGGGAAGAAGTAAAAACTATGAAGTTGCATAACACAAATATTTTCGTTCGTTAATCTCAGGGGACTTGTAACTAAATATAGTGTCCTTTATGCAATGTTATGTATATAGTATGTAGAATGCATCTATTAAACGTTTCTTACCGAACCTGTGCTGTGCTGTGCTTTTCTAAAAACCATCTGTGTCTCTTAATCAAATTTATACACCGGGACACCGGGCCAATATAAAAAAATGCTACACTTAAAAAACAAGTTCCTTTCAACCGAGGTAATAGGTTAAAAAAACAAAGAATATAAATACGCCCAACATATCGTCCATAAACGTGAAAGCAGCCTGTTGAGTTGGAAAAACAAGATTATTCGGAGTCCAGAAGGGCGTCGATTAATTCGGGTTAACTGGAGGGGGAAATAATAGAAATAAACGCGAAGGAAATCAAAGCAACCACAATCACTAAGAAAACTAAATTAATTACAGTAACTACATCAACTACAACAACTACACAACTACAAAGGCCACGTAAGTACAACAACTACAACAACTGCAGGAACCAGAAAAACTACAGCAGCTAAACAACCACAGCAACTACACAACTACAACAACTACAACAACTACAGGAACTACACAACTACAGTAACTACACAACTACAGCAACCACCATAACTACACAACTACAATAACTACAACAACTACAGCAACTACAGCAACTACGACGACTACAATAACTACACAACTACAGGAACTACACAACTACAGGAACTACACAACTACAGCAACTACACAAGTACAACAACTACAGTAACTACAATAACTACACAACTACAGGAACTTCAACAACTACAGCAACTACAACAACTACAGCAACTACACAACTACAGCAACTACAACAACTACAGAAACTACAGCAACTACAATAACTACACAACTACAGCAACTACAATAACTACACAACTACAGGAACTACACAACTACAGCAACTACAGCAACTACAACAACTACAGAAACTACAGCAACTACAACAACTACAGAAACTACAGCAACTACAACAACTACAGCAACTACAATAACTACACAACTACAGCAACTACAGCAACTACAGAAACTACAGCAACTACAATAAGTACAATAACTACACAACTACAGGAACTACAACAACTACACAACTACAGGAACTACAACAACTACAATAACTACAATAACTACACAACTACAGCAACTACACAACTACAGCAACTACAGCAACTACAACAACTACAGCAACTACAATAACTACACAACTACAGGAACTACAACAACTACAGAAACTACAGTAACTACAACAACTACAGCAACTACAGCAACTACAACAACTACAACAACTACAATAACTACACAACTACAGGAACTACACAACTACACAACTACAGGAACTACAACAACTACAATAACTACACAACTACAGCAACTACACAACTACAGCAACTACAGCAACTACAGCAACTACAATAACTACACAACTACAGCAACTACAGCAACTACAGAAACTACAGCAACTACAATAAGTACAATAACTACACAACTACAGGAACTACAACAACTACACAACTACAGGAACTACACAACTACAGGAACTACACAACTACAGGAACTACAACAACTACAATAACTACAATAACTACACAACTACAGCAACTACAGCAACTACACAACTACAACAACTACAGCAACTACAATAACTACACAACTACAGGAACTACAACAACTACAGCAACTACAGTAACTACAACAACTACAGCAACTACAGGAACTACAGCAACTACAATAACTACAATAACTACACAACTACAGCAACTACAATAACTACAATAACTACACAACTACAGCAACTACGGCAACTACACAACTACAGCAACTACAGCAACTACAACAACTACAGCAACTACAATAACTACACAACTACAGAAACTACAGTAACTACAACAACTACAGCAACTACAGGAACTACAACAACTACAATAACTACACAACTACAGGAACTACACAACTACACAACTACAGGAACTACACAACTACACAACTACAGGAACTACACAACTACAGGAACTACAACAACTACAATAACTACAATAACTACACAACTACAGCAACTACAGACAACTACACAACTACAGCAACTACAGCAACTACAGCAACTACAATAACTACAGCAACTACAATAACTACACAACTACAGGAACTACAACAACTACAGAAACTACAGTAACTACAACAACTACAGCAACTACAGGAACTACAACAACTACAGAAACTACAGTGACTACAACAACTACAGCAACTACAGGAACTACAGGAACTACAATAACTACACAACTACAGGAACTACAACAACTACAGCAACTACAGGAACTACAACAACTACAATAACTACAATAACTACACAACTACAGCAACTACAGCAACTACACAACTACAGCAACTACAGCAACTACAATAACTACACAACTACAGGAACTACAACAACTACAGAAACTACAGTAACTACAACAACTACAGCAACTACAGCAACTACAACAACTACAATAACTACACAACTACAGCAACTACAGCAACTACAGCACAACTACAGCAACTACAGCAACTACAGCAACTACAATAACTACACAACTACAGGAACTACAACAACTACAGAAACTACAGTAACTACAACAACTACAGCAACTACAGGAACTACAGCAACTACAACAACTACAATAACTACACAACTACAGGAACTACACAACTTCAGGAACTACAACAACTACAATAACTACAGAACTACAGCAACTACACAACTACAGCAACTACACAACTTCAACAACTACAGGAACTGCATTAACAACGGTAACTAACTATAATCAGTGTAATAGTAGTGTATCTGTCACAACTTCCACATGTGGGGCTGTATATGTCTCAGGACATTATACGTAAGGCTTACATGAAGTACCGACCACTCGTCCGCTCTGGGAAAGAACCATGTGATCAATCTAGACTCCAAGGCCCAGGGATTGGGTAGTCACTTGAAGGGATAGACGAGAGGGCCGTTCCTCGATCCTGAGACTGGGACTGAGTTATACGATCACCGAAGATTTTTCCGAATGGATCTTCGTACGTGAGGATCCGTGAGGGGTACGTGAACAATGAGCTCTTTTGATACACAGTATGTGTGCAGAGGCTACAATTATCTCTTCCCTCGAGTTGAATTAAGGTGAGTTTTAAAACGTTGCTTGGTCGTTTGCAGTTCTACTGAATTCGTAGAAAAGTCGATTCATAGTAATTGCTGATCAAGCTTTGCAATTAATTGACAATGGGCCCTGTGATCTATGTTCACGTCACATAGATGAAAGGTACCTCCAGTTTCAACGTTTTTTCTATCTAGTATGATAACAATAATAAAAAAGACATGAAGCTGTTGTTGCAGGATAAGAGACTATTAAGAGAATTCCTATTCAGAGGTCACAAGGCCCATACAATGGATTATTACTTAATTATTATTATTTTTAAGCTTTATATTCTTATTTATTTTTGCCAGTGTTGGCCGGGACCCCTCTTCTTTGACAACATTTAACCTGTTATTCCAACTTATGCCATTTCACTATACTAAGTGACTACCAAGAGAATGTACAAATTCTGTATTGCAATGTACAACCCAGTTTGAAATGGACTATTGCATAATTGATATCAGCACTCCCCTTTGGTTAAGGAAGTGAGCAAAGATCAATGGAATTCTCTAGGGGGTATGTTGTAATAGTTTTGGAAATCCTTGAGGAATAGTCTTAAACATTGGAGTTATTCAGGGTAAACAAAGAATTCATGGAATTTTATTAGGAAAAAAAGTACTGTTCAATAAGTTCCTCAGGGGTAAATTCATATCTTAAGAAAGTCTCCCGGGTGAATGCAGTCTAATAGAATTCCTCAGGAGTAAGAAGGAAGTTTATTACATGTTGTCAACCGGGAAGAGGGTGTGGCCATGAAATGTGATTGCCCATTTTTTTTCTGCCATTGAAGGAGGACAAAGCACACACAATGACCACACACAACAGCATGCAAGGACTGGACAAAGCAAACATGATGTGATTTTATTTAGTTGGATAGTAAACCTTTTATTCAATGGTTTACATATTGTAGAAGTATAATGGACATGGGTGTTTTGCTCATTGCTCGCCTATACATGAAACCATCCAACACATGATTGATAGAACTCACATACAATAGTTATTCAAAATAACTTAAGAATCACCAGTGCCACTAACAAAAGGAGGGATACAACAATCTGTTAGTATGCCAGGTTGTGGTGGTTTCTTTTTGCATTACCTTGTATTAATTTTGTTTTTTCTGGCTTGACAGTTCATTAGCCACAGGCATGTGACTCATTGTTTGTGATAAATAAACAATTTTTTTCCTCTGAAAGGATTTATCAAAGAGAAGAGATTCTCCTGAGGCTTAAAATTCACATCCAATTTCTTCCTTAGATCCTTGGAAGTTATAAAAATTGGCAGTTTTTCCACCTTTTAGGTTTTTTTTTTTTCGTAACAGCTGAGAAAAAAAGTTCTGTCTCTGCTGTTTATTGAACTGATCAAACCAGAGAAAGAAGCTTTCAAAGTATGTCAAGTTTTAAATTTACACAATATTTCTAGTACATCCACAATAACCTAATCAATACTTTGTTACAGGTGTAATTATTATTTTATGTTAATGTAATATAAGGCTTCATCTACCGTAAAAAGGGTAAAGGTTTTTGCTCACAACAGGAAGACTTGTTTTGATATCACATGAGTTTAAGTGTTTGTGTTTTTCTGGTTGCATTCAAAGCACAACCATTTTGTTGTTGGATGGAATGCAGATTCAGGGATATTAGCAAAATCTGGATGGTACCACTCACAGCATCCACAACACTTGACATATGCAGCGTTGTTGTTAGGCAATCGGCATGTGCAGTAAATAGGTATATTTTTGCCTACCACAGGATGAACAAGCTCAACTGTATCATCAGTTGGTGGGAACTCGGTCATCCTTGAAGACTCCAGGCAATCAACAAGGTGCGGGCACATGGCTCTCTGGTCATATCTCTTGGTGGTGGGGTCACCACCATGGCATAGAGTGGTGGCAAAGGCTATAGCAAAGAGTGCACAGTCATTGTAGCCCTTCTGCTTTTGCACTTTCTGATTCCTAATTTTAACTATGTTGCCTTTGTAAAAAGGCTGATCTGGATTTGTCTTTTATTAAAGTGTGAAATATTAAAGCAATGAAGGTTTAGACAATATTCTTCTAACTGGGTTGTCCATCGTCACCACCTGCATTTTTGAAGTTAATTTATTTCGTAAAAGTAATCCCATTTGCAAAACCCCAGACAAGACCCCTTGCAAAACCTAAAAAATCATGACCCCCCTATTAATTAATGAAAAAAATTAGCCCCCCTCTAGCCAATCTAAAACAGCCTTGACCCCCCCCCCTTCTTTTTTCCCTCCCCCCCTACATAAATAATGACCAGTCCCTTAACTGAAAAAAAGTGAAAATAACCTTGGAAGTATTCCTTCTTTCTTTATCTGCTGCATGTCTGTCAATGCCCTGATGGCAATCATATACTCGTTTTCCTGTTATGATGAATGGAATTCCATCATATTTGATCCTTGATTGGGAGGTTACAGACTGAGGATCTTCAAAAAACACCTTCTTCCCCTTCATTTGCTCATTTTGTGGAACAAAGCAAGGCCTAATCTTAATATAATATTGTACATATATATAAACATTCACAGTTCATTTTTTTCTGTAAGGTTATGTTTCTGCTCTGAACTGACCCTGGTATAGATTTTATCAGCGTCCTGTAGCCATTTTCAGCAGGCAGGAGGCATGAAGAATTGAATTTTATATGGCTGCACAACACTTTTTTGGCCCAGGGCACCTTCAATTACAACCGCTTTTGTCAAGATATTTCTGTTTCTTATTCAAACCTTTCTTCCATTTTTTTTGTCTTTTATTTGGATATTAAGTTTATTGTTCATTTAATGCATTATTCAATTAACATTGTTGTTATTATCATCATTATTATTCTGTTAGTTTGTTTTGTATTTAAAAACCTATTATGGTATTGCCAGGAATTTTTTTTGTTTGTTCCCCCCCGACCCCCCCACAAAAAAAGGGTTCTTCTGTGCCACGTGCAATATTCTGCATCCGGATATTCCATTTTGGTGTACACAAACCAATAATTAGTAAAGTCACAGAATACACTGACCGTACATTTAAGCTTACCTTTGCCTAAACCAACAAAACTTGTTGTCGTATCCAACTCATGCCAGGAGCCCATCATGCTCATGCTCCTGCTCATGCTGATTTTACATCTGGTACGAACAAAAAACTTCCAGGTCTGTTTCCGAAGACATGTCTAAGGGACTAGTCAGAAATTACAGGAGCGGATCCAGGATTTTTTTAGGAGGGGGTGCACTCGTCTCTTGCTCTACTTCAACACCAATAGCCTGCGAAAACATCCGTTTCTCCTCTCTCTTCGCCGATGTCCCCCGACGGCGAAGAGCGAGGAGAAACGGATGTTTTCGCGGGCTACAACACCAATAAACCACACCAATAAACACAATAAAACACCAATAAACCACCCCCTGCACCCTCCCCCTAGATCCGCCCCTGAATTAGCAGGGGGAGGGGGGTGGAAACAGAGGGAGGGTCACAACTTTTTGAGACTGCAGGAAAGGGAGGAGTCATGAAAAATGGGCCGTTAAAAGGGGGAGGGTCATGCAAATATGTGTCCCTGATCATGTAGAGCTTCACCCACGGAAGAAAAAAGAAGTTCTTTATTTTGTAAAAAAAACTTGGGAGAAATAGGAGAGTCGGGTAATCAGCTGTCAGAATCAGAGTGGGACTCTTAATGCTGTCATCTAAAATCTATGTATATGGCATTACAAAGAACAGATTAGAAATATATTTTGATCTTTCATAATACCTACTGACTCACCCTAGTGTATTGCAAGCCCCAGATTTTATAATTTATACGAGAGTGAGAGGGTCATGATATTTTAGGCCAAGGTCAAGGGGAGGGTTAGCAAATTTCACTCCCATTGCAGGGATGGGTCACCTCATTTCCGAACCCAAATTTAAAATTTCCACCCAGCTAAACAGCTACTGCAGTACGCCTACTCTTGTTTGGATTTTATTTTTCCCGCTCTTTCGGACGCGTTTGGTTAATGTTTCACAGAGTATAGGACCGGCCGTCCAATTCCGGAGAGGTACTTGTCCTCTATCCCTTGTGGGGATAGCTCAGGGAACCCTAGTCTGCTTAGAGATGAGGAAGACAAAAATAATTTCCATTTTTGGCTTTGAGGGGGTATATTCGTTTATTTCAACAGCACCTTGTCATAAGTCTGAAATCTATCTGTTTTAATATTTGTGAAGAAAACTAATTTGTCACCCCAAGTAGTTTTTCGCCTTTTCCCGTTTAATATCAGTGGCGGGAGCCAGTAATATTTTTCGAAGTACGAATAGGTCAATGTTAAGTATATTTTAGATGAAAAAAACAAGAAACAAAATAAATCACATCGCATCTTTTTG